CCCCCCCTCCACAGGCACATACATTCTTTCCAATGACATGATTCCCAACTCACTTGTAAGCTTGCACCTGCAAAAATGTGTATGCACAAAAGTCACAATCACTCACAACCTGAACTGTTTCACTATGTCTGTGTGTCTCTCAAATTTCATTAGACCTGCATGTTTGCCAACAATCGTCTGAAATCCGACAATCGCGACCCGACCCGCGAGCCGGCCGATGCTATCGCTAGGCCCACCTTTATTAGTCGATGTGCGAAGTGCGAGGCCTGGCTGACTGCCAGCGCCCCCTTTTTCTCTCGTCGGCTTTGTCGGCACTTTTGTTTACGCGCCGACGTTGGCGTTTCCGACATAATTGTCGGAACCTGAGTAGAAATACAAATACGAAAAAGTACGACGACCTAAATTATCTCCTTTCAGTTTTATGCTCGAGCGGCCATTTTGAATTTCGTTTGTTTACTTATTGTTCAGATCATGTGGATTCATTCAAGTTCGACTCACTTGTTCCACTCTAGATCTAGAATCTAGATTTATAGATCATTATAGACCTCAAAGGAGGATTCTATATTCCAATTCTATTATAGGTTGTGCTGTAATATTGTAATATTAATGTTGGTAAAACGCATTTCATCAGGTGCGTGAATTATTTACTTAGAATCTAGAATTCTAGATCTCTAGACTCAGCTGAGTCCCTCTTTTCGGAATCAGATACGGATTTCTCGTTCAAGGCCTATTCCTATTCACTTGTTCTACTAGATCTAGTTCTAGATTTAGATTCTAGATCTAGATTTATTTAGATTACTAGATCTACAACTATATGGAGGATTCGTATTCCAATTCTATTGTATTTTTGTATCAAACCATATTATTATTAATAATAAGGCAATAAAGGCCATAAATATGCTCCTTGTTTGTTTTGGAGTGTGCTTTTTATTTTTGGACTTGTGCTGGCCTTTTGACATGAGGGCCGTAGCAGGTTCTTATTTAGGGTAGGGTTTGGGTTAGGGTTAGGTCTCTTTTATTATATTTGTTGGGGTGGTCGCTCGTTACTCGGAATTCCTTCCTTTTATGACACCCACAAATTTAAAAGCTCTTATAAGATATGGAGAGGGGGGGGGGGCGCAAAATTTTCAGACAATCTGGTTGAGGCTCACATGCAGGTCTATTTCATATGTGGTTGGTAGATGCTCTGGTGTGGTTTGCTTTTACTTTCCTATCAAACTTCTACCCTCCTTACATATCTTTCCTCCTTCTTTTCTTTGTATGTTTCTTTCCTGTAACACCTCTAATCATTAGCACTTAACTTATATAACCTAATTGTGTTGCAAGTGTTGTAAAACTATATCAAAACTAAAAAATGCTGTCTGTTCTCAGTCTATGATGTGTATCTATTTTTTTTTACATTTTTCAGTTGGCAAAGTTGTTTGTAAACTTTCTCATTTGTCTGTCTATGTGTTTTTCAGTGCCAATGTGGTCTATAGTCTTTTTGTATGTTGTTTGTGTATTTCAGTATGGTATAGCAATGTATATTATCTCTTGTTTGTAGTCTGTTTCTGTGTTGTTGTGCCTTTTCCATATCATTGAGCCTGTCTGTGTTTGTGTGTATTTCAGTGTGGTGGAGCAGTGTTTCAGAAGGCTCAGCGACGTCTGAGCATGCTACAGGAGGACAATGACAGTTGGACCCCGGTGGCCTCCCCGCTCAAGACGCTCAACATTTGACCGCGTCCTGGTACAGCTGTGTGTCTGAATGCTACACGAGTGTCTGCCTTTATTTGTGTATGTCTGGTCTGGCTTGAAATGCGTTTGGCTGTATGCATAATTTCATTTGCCTTCTAGAGGTGTGTCTTGCCGAGTACCTGGAGTGGTCGGTCTCAGATTCAGGTTCACTAGTATGAATTCTGCATCACCAGTCCCTGTTTTTTATGTGCATCCTTTTTTTTCTTCTTTTAATTCTCTGCCTGTAGATGTGTTTGTTTCGCTGTGTGTCTTGCTGTGTCTGTTGCCTGACAGTTGAAGTGTATTTGGCTAAGTACCTGGAGTATAAAGTATGTGCCTGATTCTTATTCACCGGTGTCATATCCTCACCACCAGTGCCTATTTGCCATGTTCTTTCTGTGTCTTGTGTAACTGTGTGCGTGTCTTTTGCCTAGATGTGTGTCTGGCTGTATGTGTGTTTCTTTTGCCTTGAGGTGTGTTTGGCTGTGTGTGTCTTTTGTCCAGAGGATTGTCTTGCGGGGTGTTTGGAGTGGTCTGTCTCAGATACTGGTTCACTAGTGTGATCCCCATGTCTCCCATGCCTGTTTGTTGATATGTGGTTCCAGGGCCCTGTCTCAGTGTCTGCCTTGATTGTGCATCTTTGCTGGAAATTTTTTAAGCTGGAGGTGCATTTTTTGTTTTTTTTGTTTTTTTTGCTTGAAAGTGTCTAGCTGAGTGTATTGAATACATTGTGGGCCTGATTCTTGTCAACCAGTGTCATCTCCTCGCCACTTGTGCCTGTTAAAAATATTCCAACCGCTGACTTAGGGGGGAAAAGAGGATGTAAAGAGAGTGCTAGTGATGTCACTTGCCTGTGTTCACTGAGGCTTTGAGGGTGACTTTCTCTGATATGAGTGAGTTAATTTCTCGTACAATAAAGTGTTCCCTCATATGGTCTGGACCCGCTGGCTCAGTGGGGGCTACCACTGGGGTCAGACCAAACACTCAAGTATATATACAGTGGAGTCTGCTAAAACTAAAATCTGTGAAACTGCCATATTTTCTTCCGATTAGCCATGTTTTTTTTAGCGAGATTGTTCAAATTGTGATATATCACTTTTTGTAAGTTTTTAGTCATCCACCTCTTTTTGTAACACAGCTATTTGAGCATCATTATCTTCTATTTCACTTTCTAGAACCGCGTAAAACTTGATGATTTGCATTTCTTGCGTGTTGCTTGTGAAGATTTAGATGACATAGCCTTCAAAATTATTTTCGGTTTCGAAATAAGAGATTTCGGCTATTCAATAGTTTGCTTACAAAAGCAAAGAAAAAAAAACTGGGGGTTCTCTTTTCTTTCAGCGCTAACAGGGTTCTCGGATTAAACATTACTTTAAGCGGATTCCACTGTATATTATGCACTCATGTGGCTTCACCTGCTTGATCCTTTAACTTGACTTTGTCTCTTGTAATATATATATTCAATGTACATTATATTATATAAAAATGTGTCCATATAAGCCGATATTCTGAAATAAACTGTATTTAATTGTACTCTGCTGTATTGTGTGGTATGCTTGACTAGTAGTAGTCTACTGTGTTGTATGTTATGCTTTACTAGCAGTCTACTGTGTTGTGTGTTATGTTTGACTAGTAGTTAGTCTACTGTGTTGTGTTACATTTCACTAGTCTGCTGTGTTGTGTATCACTAGTCTGCTGTGTGTTGCTGTGTTATATTTCGCAAGTCTGCAGTGTTGTGTGTTGTGTATCACTAGTCTGCTGTGTTGTGTGTTGTGTATCACTAGTCTGCTGTGTTGTGTGTTGTGTATCACTAGTCTGCTGTGTTATATTTCGCAAGTCTGCAGTACAGTGTTGTGTATTGTGTTTCACTATTCTGCTGTGTTACGTTTAACTAGTCTCCTGTTTTGTGTACTAATAGTATTATATTTCACTAGTCTTCTGTGTTGTGTGTTGCATTTCACTGGTCTGCTGTGTTGTGTATTATGTTCACTAGTCTGATGCTGTTGTGTTTTACTACTCTCTTCTGTGTTGAGTGGGTGGTTGGCGGGTGCTCTGGTGTGGTTTGCTCCTTCTTTCCTATCAAACATCTATCGTCCTTATCTCCCCTCCTTTTTGTGTTTGTTACTCTCTTGTAACACCTCTAGTCTTCTGGTGCTCATATGACCTTTTATGCAGTTGTGAGCACCCTAAAACCTCTACTAAAACAAACTTCTGTGTTGGTTTACTATTCTCGACCGTGGTGGGTGGTTTGCGGGTGCTCTCGTGTAGTTTGCTGCTTCTTTCCCATCAAACATCTATCTCCCTTTCTCTCCTCCCCTCTTTTGTTTAAAACTTAAGTAAACACTTCATCATGTATCTGTCAAACACACCCTGTTACCTAACAATTTTCAAACTTTATTTATGCAGTTTTTTTGCCCATGAAAAATTAGTTTCAGGAACTTGGCCTAACATTATCAATATAATACTGATTAAGCTTTTTTGCCCAATGTGTTGTTCAAACAGATGAACTTCCCTGTTTGCTTTAGACACCAAACAAGTACATGGTTCACTTCATGTGGATGTGGACAGGTTTGGCACACACCAAGTGACCAAGCGGGTGGTGCATGTTAAAGATCCCTTGGTTCTAAAATCGAAAAGAGCAGGTTTCAGCTGCTACCCGGGCAAAATTCAAAATTAATTCCTACCAAACATAAAATGCTTAATGTGTCCCGCGTGCTGATATGACCTCACTCACGCAGACTTTGTGAACACCATAAAACATTTACAAAAGAAAAAAAAGCAGGTGGTGGGAGGGCACCACTGGTAGGTCTTACTCCTTTTCTTTCCTGTTTTTTTTTCTATCAGTTTAATTTCTTCCAAGCACTTAATGAGCACGATTGCGTTAATGTACATCTCTTTACTAAAACGTGGTTGGTTGGCGGGTGTTCTAGTATTGTTTGCTCCATCTTTCCTAACAAAAATCTATCTTCTTTATCTCCCCTCCTTCTATTTTGTGTTGGTAACTGTTCTCTCTAATAACATCTCTAATGTGGGTGGTTGGCGGGTTCTCTGGTGCGGTTTGCTCCTTCTTTCCTATCAAACATCTATCGTCCTTATCTCCCCTTGTTCTTTTTTATGTTTGTTACTCTCTTGTAACACCTCTAATCTTCTGGCGCTCATACTCATATGACCTTATGCAGTTGCGAGCGCCGTAAAACCTCTCTATTAAAACTAAACTAAAGTAAAACTCTTACTAAAACTAAACGAAACTTTAAAAAACAAATAAACAAACTATGGTACACACCATGTATTGTTTAAACTGTGAGCCGTGCTTGTTTTGAGTAGTGGGTACATTAATTATAATGGTCACTGAATGCAGGGAAACAGCATGAAGAACAGACAGAAACAACAGAGGGAAAGAAAAGTAAGGACCTAACTGTTGCACTCTCCAGCCACCTGTGCTCACTTGGGCTGAACTGGAATATATATCAGATACAAAAATCTACCGGTGGACGAAGGTCATGGGCTCACATAAACACACATACACATACACACACACATGCAACAAGCCCAGAGAAGGTCTCACAGAACACAGATTGGCAAAGCTGGAACAAACTCAACCCTGACCAAATTCCTTTATTCTAGAAAATCAATTCTTGCCCAAATTTACAAAATATCCCCAGACATTCTGGGTGATGCAGGCATGATGGTCTCTTGTACACAACACAGTCACTTTCAATTCTGTATTCAGAGACCAAAAATTGCTCGCTCTCTCTCTCTCTC